TATCCTCCCTCAGAGGCAAATGGACAGAAAATACCTCTAGTTTGGAAACAGTGTTCCCTATGGTGGAGGAAGTCCTGGGACTCTCCAAGCCAATAGCTCTGGTGCTACCAGGTGGTACCAAACCATCCCTTTGCCTTCACAGCAGCATGTCTATGTGCATCCATAGATATCCAGAGGATCCTGTTCTGCCCATCCTTCACCTGGCTAATACATTGCAACCTGTGTGCCCCCACCACCCTGCTTCTCTTTCCAAAGCCTAAAGCAAATTCAGCTTTAGGAATGCAGTGGGTCTCAGATGAGGCAAACACTGTTACAGGCTGGCATATCCTGCAGGGTAAGTAGTGACAGGAACAGGTTTTCTGTGGTTATCACAACACCCTATTTATTCATCTCAGCGCTGTTTTGCACACCAAAAAGGTATCTTCCCTTTTGCTGTCAGTTCTGTCTCTCTCTCTCTCTCTCTCTTTGCAAGGTCTGAAGTGTGTGTGCAGCAGCTGTGGGAGTAGTCAGGCTTCTTCCATAGCTAGGGAAATAAGAGGAAAAGCTCTGGTTATCTCGTAGTTGGGCTGTTTAGTTCTTGGTGGGTTTATGTGCTGGAAATAGAGCATTGCAGGGTGATAGGGATTCCTTTGGGGACTTTAGTGCTACGGACACCAGTGGCACAGCTTAGAATATCCTCAAATAAGGAACTTCATGTGTCTGTGATGCTGTTTCTCTTCCTTATTTTCCAGTAATGACTGGTTAAGTAAAGTAGCTGTGCCTGTGGCAAGTTTTCATGAAGACAGTGAGATTGAGTGGTTGTGGCTTGGTGCGTGGGTTTAAAATGTCAGGACATATCAAGTACTCAGTTTCCCTGCCTGTAAAATGACACCTTGCTCTGTAGCTCAACAATGAAATGTTTGCCTGCAAGACAGGTAAGAACCACCGGGTCCAGGAAGGGACAAACAGGCACTGTTCCATTTCTTCTAATAATGATGTCATCCTGAGTGCTAAAACCACAGTTCTTATCTTTCAGCTGCCAGGCAGGGAAAGCAGTACACAGCATGGAAGTTTTTGACTCCTCAGTGACTGATGGTTTATTGCAGTTTCTGCTTCAAAGACTTTAATTCGCTCCTAACTCAAATGCGAGACACAAAGATAAGTATCTTGACAACTCACACAATTAGGCCTTTGATAGTGTGACTGTCCAGGTGTTGGTAAGGGAGGTGTCTGGGAATCCAGACAAGTTGTTAAAGGAGTCAGTCCTACAGGCGTGTGGCTTTCCTGCTGGAAGGAGCATGTTTTCATAACGAGACAGTGTCTGATACAGCTGAGAACAGTAACTCCCAGGCTGAGCTGTGAGGAGAGGCGAAGGGTCTGAGGGGAAGTGACGGTAAGCAGAGACATTATTTGTGAGGTGAATTCTTCTCTGAGCTGTCTTGAAGGTGTAGCAGAAGTGTGGAGCAGAGATGAAACCTGATTTGCGGGGTGGCTTAGCAGTGTTGCTGTAGGGATTCTGGGACAGCCCTGGGAGCTGTTGAGTGTCCCCCCCTCCTGCTCCCGGCCGATCCTCGCAGCCAGCAGGAAGCTGCTGCTGACACAGCCTGCGGTGCCGGAGAGCAGCAGAACCCCACGCTGGGTTTGGTGCAGGTGACACTTTGCCTGCTTTGCGGCTGTGCTGCTTCCATTGCAGGGAGCACCGAGGGTGGTCTCTGCCCAGCGCAGCGATGGCCGGAGGTGGCGTGGCACCATCAGCAAGGGCTGATGTGGGAGAAGTGCTAGACAGCACACAAGGCTTTTCCCTTGGCTTACCCCTCACTGCATGATGGAGGAGAAGATGCAGGTGTGGAAGAGAGGAAATTGTCTTGCAGTCCTGCCTCTCCCTTTCCTCCACCCTGCAAAGTTGCAGTCCTGTCTCTCCCTAAAGCCCGGAGTCAGGGGCTTCTGGTCCTGCCTGCTGTTGCCACCCCTCAGTGGTGGGCTGCAGATGGGAACAGTTGCTCTGGTGAGTTCATTGTGAGATTTAAGGATGATGTAAGGTTAATTTGGGGATGAGAGGGAGAAACAGAAGATGGGACATCACACCCAAATGACCTGTGTTGTTGGAGGGCAGTGTGTACTCAGGGTGTACTCAACCCCATCTAAAGAGTTGTGATTGCCTTGGGGGAAGCCTTGGAGACTTGATTTGTGGGAAGCATCCACAGGATTCACTTGTGAAAACTGGCTTGTGTGTGGGTGGAAGGAGGTCTGTCCTTCTGTGCTGACAAGTGGCTGGTGGCTGTGCTTCTCTGACTGTAATTATGTTTAATTTGTCCTGCATCCCAATGCAGTGTCGAATTGGAATGAACATCCCTACACTGACTCTGCAGAACTGATCTAGGGGTCCTAAAATTGTGTTTAAAGTACCTCCTTCATTTGTTTTCTAAGTAAGAGATAAAGAACTGGTCCAAAAAACTGGTTGTAATCTTATCTGTTGAATCTATTCAAGGCATCTAGTGGTTTCTCAGAGGCAGCTGCTAACACATAAAGCTCATTTGTCTAATGAGTGAATTGAAAGTGTGAAAATGAATAATGTATTAAAATTAATTGGTATTTCAATTAAATTTTGTAAAAATTCATTCCAGGCTTTCAGCAGCCCTAAAGCAGCCTTAGCAAATGATCTAATTTTATTCTGAATGTGAATGCAGATGGGGTTTGTAGCCTTTATTCATCTTTTCTCATTCTTCAACTAAAGATTCCTTTTACCCAGTATAAGGAAACCTTATACCTTTACCAGTATAACGAAATCCACCAGAAATGGTCTTAGATTGAATCTAAAACTACCAGGGTTCCAAAGTCTTAATGATTAAAATCTTCAGGTGGCATCAGCATGACTGCATTTGACTGTTTGGGGTTTGCTCTTTAGGGGTCTATGGGGTTTGGTTTTTTTGAAATTCCGTTAAGGAATTTGACTTCTCAGGAGGAACTTTGTGACTATCCAAGCCCTTTGCATTGATTCAGAGTAATTATGTAAAACTTGAGGTTTGTGGAATTACTAGTTAACTAAAATAAAAAATAATTGTCCCTGGATTGTAGTAACAGGAAGGCATTTTGTGGTGTGGGAGAAATCCTTTTTCCTCCTCTCTGGCCACCCAAGCAGAACTTTGTTAGCTGAGGGCAGGAACCCTTCAGGGGCTTTGACTGCCTGGGTGGTCAGTCTTTGATTTAGGAAATTCAGTTCATGAAATTATCATATTCAAGCTTCCTTGTCTCAATTTTTGCCATATAAGTACTTTGGAGTGTGCTGGAATTTTTCATTGTTCTTTTTTTGTTTTACCTCTGCTCGTGTGCAGGAGAGGACAAAACTCCAGTTTGCAACTATGATGGGTGACTTTTTTCCTACAGTCTCTATTTCTGGGGACTTTGCCCAGAGCTGAGATGATCCCTGAGGGGAGGGAAGAACCTCACACATTGAAAGTCTCTTCTCCCTGCACTAAGATCTTGTCAAGGTGCTCTACCTGTGCAGCACCAAGGGAGGACTTTTTTGCTGTAACCAGCATGTGAGGATCTGCCTCTTTCTGAAAATCTTAAGTGCTTTCAGAACACAGTATTTGAGTCTGTAGAGGCAGACAGGCACCTTTCCTGCACGCTTCCAGGAACTGATGTGTGGAACATGCCCGGGCTTGATCTCCTCTTGCAGCCTCTAATCAGTAAAGTAAGCTGGTGTGGATGGTGCAGAGGTTCGTGCCAAGCTGCTGTTCCCTGGGCACGCCCAGAAATAAACCTGGGTTGCTTTGTTTGACTTGCATTTTGTGCTCTGGGAAGGGAGCAGTGTGCTGCTTTTCCTTCCCAGACTGGAGTGGTCTGTGCCTCTTCTTCTAAAGCAGGGAGTGGGAAAAGACAATGGTGTGTCTCTTTTTGGTGGTCTCTTACCATGAGTGTTCAGACTGAATCAAATGAGTTTCCTGACAGTATGAAATAGTGTGACAAAAAATGTAGTGGATCTGGGGTTTAAAGCCACATTCTGAGCTTGCCTTGGAAAGATATTAGGTGGCAAACCCCCCAAGGAAGTATCTTGACTTCAATTTCTATTCCATCCTCTTGCTGTAAGAAAAGATTACATTGGTCCCTCTATAGGATGATATTTTATTTAGTCTATTTATCACCATCTGTCAATGCTCAGCTCTCCCTCCAGCAATTTCCAGGAATTCTCAGCGATGAGAAAAAGTAGGTCATCCCAGCACAGTTGGGCTGGGTTTGGGGGGAAGAGCTTTGGCTGTAGGGCTTTGGTGAGTAAAGAATCTCATTGGTGCTAGTCAATCTGGCCACTTGTGTGCAGCTGTCAGCTGGAGGGGCTTGTGTTGCATCACTGCTGCCAGAAACCTGGGAGAACATTTGCCCCTCCACGATGGAGTGTGGTGTGAGCAGAGGGTGGTGCAGCTTCTTGCACCGTGAAAGACGGGCAGGTCTGTTCAGTTTGTACTTCTGTTACAAGGTCAGCTGGCTGCTCCCAGCCCAAATTATCCAGCAGGGGTTTGTCTGACCGGCTGGGGAGCCCTGCTGTGGTGCCACACCAAGCTTTTGGCACAGGCAAGGGCTGGGTGGGGAAGGCGGCACTGATAGAGCCCCAGGAGGCTGCTGTGAGGAATGTGGTTTCCCAGGCAAATGGCATGTGGTAGAGGAGGCTTGGTACTACTTCAAGTTTCCTGTGGTCTAAGCCATGATGCTTCAGAAAGTGGTGTTTAACTCAGACAGGAGTTAATAGCAGAGGATATCCACTGTTTGCCAGTTGTAACACAAACACCTTGGTTTTGGTCTGGATTACTTCAAATTGAAAATAAATGTTATCTGTAAAACCAGACTATGTGCAAGCTGAGGCTTTACCTACCCTACAGAAATTCTGCTGGTGTGGACACCTCCCGAGGGGTCTGCACAAAGCCAAAGTCCTGCCACAGACTTAGTGCTAAATCCCCACTTTCCTCTTCATCCCAGGCTTCTCTTTCAAGTTCTCAAACCTGAATTAACATCTGTCTCTCCTCCAGCAAAGTCAAGACCAGGAGAAGGGTCACTTCTGACCTGTTTCAGAACTCTGTCAGGTCCCAGAGAAGAGGACAGAGGGGACTGCACTCTCCCCAGCCAGCACTCTGTAGGGTAGAGGTGAGTAGCAGCAATGGAGATTTGAATGGAACAGAGGGAAATACAAAGCAACAAAGGCTTAAGCCTGTGTTTTAGCCATGAGTCTGACATAACAACTCTTTGAAAAGAAGGGCTCATGATGAAGAGGGAACCTGTGGGCTGTTGTGTGTTTTACATGTATTTGAGATTGTGTTTTGCCCTTGGACTTTTAAGAGCCTTTAAAAAGTTGGGCAGTTCATAGTCTCTTGAAATATTACTGTGGTTTGCTTCAGAGTTTGAATTAATTTCTGCTTTCACTTCCTCCCTCTTCTCCACCAGCACACTTAGTTATTTGAAACACAATTATGAGGAGTTGTTACTGTGGAAGGGGATCATTCATCACGAGCCCAGGTTAGCAGGCCATCTGCCTGGGCTCCTTAGTGCTTTCTCCCCACTTTTGGCATTAGGTGGGAAGTACTGAAGTGAGCCTGAGTATCCCATGTATCTCTGGCAGAGGGCAGGGGGAGGCTGACCTGAGGTGCTGCAGGTGTGCAGTGGTGTCAGCTGGGTGTTTCACTGCAGACTGTGCTGCTGTGCACGCAGAGTGCTCTCACCTGCTCTCAGCAGGGGCTCAAATTCCTCTCTGGTAACACTGCTCTCCATTCCAGCCTCTGGCTCTGTGGAGGGTTGTCCCTCTGCCCCCCAACTCCACCTTGGCTTTAAAGCCCCACTGGTAGGTTATGTCACTCCAGTGTCTGTGCCAGGAAGGAGTTTCATTCATGCTATTCACATTCACATACCCTTCTCACTGAGGCAGTTGTGGATTTCTCAGCCCTTTTTCATGCCTATCTCCAAAAATATGGATATGCATCACTAAAAAGGTCATTTTCTGTGAGACATGGCCAGATGCATGAGCACTGCTGAAAGATGTGGATTTATTAAACTTTTTTTTTTTTTCCACACTGTTCTTACTCTTTTGTAGGACAAGGAGTTCTGGTCTGAAGCAGAAGGTGACAAGAGCTGTTCTGTCTCTGAATCCATCATGGAACAGGTTAGAGTCAAACATGTTTGAAGTGAGCTGCTCACAGTGACCGGTGGTTCCCTTGTGCACGAGTGTTGGCTCAGGTCCTTCTCAAGTTTCCCAGAGTTCCTGCAGGGGCTCTGACACTGCCCTGAACACAGAGGAGTGGATGGAACAAGCCTGTAGTTTGCAAGCTGCTTCCTTGTTATCTCTCTGTGGCCCTCCCCGTTGAAACTGCAGGCTGGAGATGTAGCTATTTAAGAGACTGCAATGTTTATTGATAGAGCTACAAACTGCTAAAACTAATAAATCAAATTAATAGGCACAGCACTGTGATCAGTTTATTGCATAGTTTTGTGTGATGTTAAACACAATTATGAAGGTGCTATTTTTCACACTGAAATCTGATTAACAAATTGAACTGTTACTGAAATGCCAGTCATCCTGCCCCACCCCAGCTTGTGTTAGGATACAATTCTAACCCTCTGCTCTGCCCTCGCACAAGCCTTTCAAATGTAATGCGATAGAAAGTTTATCTGAGGTAAAGCCGAGGACTAGTCCTGTGGGTTGTTGAAGGGACTTCCAGTGGTGTCCCAGAGAGCTTCCATCACCAGGTGAACTTCACTACTGCCTGTAAGCATTGTGCTCAGATCATGGAAGATGTGCCTTCTGTTCACTTTGATCATACACCGTAATTTCCATTTGTTTCCATTTCTGAACTCTGCTTTTTGTTGACTTTGTTCCTCCTTTTCCCCGGTCTCTTCCCAAGTAAACAACCCATCCTTAATTACTCTCTATGCATTTTTCCCAGTTGTGCTACTGCTGCCCAGGCACTGTGGGTCCCGTATGCTATTACTGATGGTGTAGTTATGCAGATGGCCTTGCGAGGTTCCACTCCCCGAAACTCGCTATCAGTTATCAAGTTCCTCCTGGTTGCACACTGATCACCTTGTGCAGTTGGCATAGCAAGCCATCCTTCGTTAGCCATTTTTCTTCTCCCTAGATGAAACTAGGCCTAAGTATTTTCTCACAGGCAGACAGTCTGCATACTTGTGAGCAGCTGCTTGGCTCTGCACGAGGAGCTGAACAGGTTTATTATGGAGCTGGTTGAGGTTCCTTTGAAGGGGGAGAAGAAATGTGAACCTTGGGGTTTTTTGCAGGCTTATGCTGTCTGCTATCTCTGTTTCCCACCTTGTTACTGCTCTGCTCTGATTACATTGAAGGGGGGAGCTGCTGGCTTCTTTATGCACAGGAAGTAGAATGCCCAGTTCCCAAATACAGGGGGAAAATCCTTCCAAACAGAGACGTCTGAGTGGGGAAAGTGGATGGTTTTTGCTGAACACACGTGTGTTTCAAAGGAGGAGCTCTGATCAGGGTTGCTGTCACTGCCACAGCTGGGAGTGTGAGGAGAAGGTGAGCTGGCTCTTCCACCAGCAGTTTGTAAGAGCAGAGCCATCTGTCATTCACATACCCAGGAGTTAGCATGCATTTGCTGAAGTCTTGTGGACCCCCCAGCTACTCATCCTGCTACTCAGGATGCCCAAAGGAGACCACAGAGACGTGTTCAGGGTTGGAAAACACTGTGTGTGTGTAGAGCTTTTGAGTGGGACACGGGTGTAACAGTGATTTCCTTGCATTTACAATCAATGGATCTCTCCAGATGGAGCATGCACTGCTGTACACCTTCCTGGAGTCATCCTCTGACTGCAGGTTCAAAGACCAGCTGTGGTCCCTGAAAAGCCCAAGGCCTGTTGTTTTGGAAGGACCCTCCGGCCGGGGGGATCTCTCAGTCCCAATCAGGAGTCTTTGACGATGAGTTTGAGCTCCAGTGCGACGGCAATCGGAGCGGCCACTACCAGAACGGTGAGCTAGGTGAGTGTGCTTTCCTCCATCCCAAATGTCAGTCTGAACAGGGTGTTTTTCTTTCTCTCCCTTTCCTGTTTTTTGCTGTTGACTGTTTCACAGGAGTAAAGTTTTCTCCATTGAGAAACTTCACAATGTGGCCGTTGCTTGGGAGTTTAACACTTGGGATAAGACAGACTTTCTCTGCCCATGGATTTCTAGAGCACCCATAACCGTGGGCTTTTGCCTGCAGCACATGAGACAAGGGCACAAAGCTGGTTCTCATGAGAGCTGCCCTCAAGGAGTGTGATATTAAAGCAGCTAAGCTGGGCCTCGTGCTGCTCCTTAGGCAGTATCAGTACTGGGCTAGGATCTTGGAACAAGTTGTGTTCTGGTACTGGGTGAATCCCTTTCCGCTCCACCACTCTGGTGGAAACTCTTCCTCACTCAAAAGGTTTCTGTCCCTGCTCATTTCAGGGAGTTGGGACTAGATGGCCTTTCAAGGTTCCATCCAACTCAAACTGTTCTATGAGATGCTGTATTTTAGATGGTGCTTAAGAGACAAGTCATGACAACAAAGTCACTTCAATAAATCCTACAGTCATTTAGGTTGGGAAAGACAGTTTCTCAATTCCCCTCTCAGGGCAGGATGTTTGTTGGCTGTAGCTGTCCTGTTCAGATTTTGGCTGGAGATGTTCTAACATCCCCTGTAGTGATTTTTTGGGCTGCACACTTTACCTAAACCACAGATAAAAGATCTGTTTGTGCACTGTCTCTGTTAAGCAACTTGGATTCACTAAAGAAGTTGTGTTTAGAGCTGTCATGAATACTCTATGAGAAGGTGTTTGCTAATGGGGATGAGTGACATGCTGTGGGTCAGCTTACCTGCACTGAACCTGGTCTGGCTGTGGCCTGTGAACTAAATCCTGCTCTGTGTTGGCAGAGTCTGACGCTCCGGTAAATGAAGATGTTATCCGGATCATTGCTGCTCAGCTCGCTAAGATTGGAGACGAGCTTGACAAAGATGTCCAAGCAAACGCAGTAAATGATCTAGTGCAGTACTTTCTGAATGAGAGTCTCTCTAGAGAGGTGAGTGAAAAGCAACCTGGCTAGCAGTTCCCCTTTTGAATGTTGTGCATCCTTCCTGCTGTGACTCTGAAAAACAGCAAGGTTGCGACTTCTATATCTTGGCTATTTTGCTGATTTAATTCTTGCCATCTTTAAATTCAACCCAAACACTTACCTTTGGGGATTTGTTAGAGGGGATTCTGTAGCCTGTGGCAGAAGTTAACTGTGTAAATTTGCTTCCTTGGGCTCATCTCCTTTTTGCAGATGGTGTAATTACAGTTGTGGGTAGTTGTGGAAAAGGACTGATTTTCAGAGGCATTTTGTCCTTGTTCTGTTGGCCCAGTGACTTACCTTTGAAAATTAACTGTCTGGTTAAGGCTTAGTATTTGTCCTTAAGATCTTTGGACTTTGGTGCCAAGTCCTGTGTGTCTGCTGATCGTCACGTGGGTAAAAGTGGAGTAGGTTAGTGCCAGAAGCTTGACTCGTGCTTGTTACTGAACAAGATAATGGTCGTAGAATTGAGGGCCCACCTTCTTGCCAAAAAGGCAGGATTTAATGACTTTAACCAATCCTTTTGTTCGGTTGGTTTTTTTTTGTGGTGGGGGGTTTTTCTACTAGGGTTTATCACTACACAGCTAGATTCCAGCAAAGTCTGACCATTCCCCACTCTCGCTGCCTTGTTCTCCACCCAGTTAAGTTTCAGATCTTCAAGTTTATTGTCTAACCTTTTAGTCTTTGATAAGACTGAGATATAAACCCCATTTCTGACCTTGCTTTTTCACATTAGTAATATAGCTTAGTGTGTGCATATTGTTCTGTCTTGGAAAAACTGATCTTCCAGTGACCTTGGGAGCAAGGCTTGGACACCTTCACTAGCACTTCCTTATGTGAAGGCTTTTCTGTGAAACTTCCTCTGCCTTTTTCCAGTCCCTACCTAAGCTTGTACCCCAGACCTACGCTCCTTTCCTGGGAGCCCCAGAATTCCTTTACCACTTCAGGACTTGGCAGGCTCAGTGCAAACCCTGGGGAGGAGGGAGCTGTTGCATCCTAAGCGTGTAAGGTGCTGTCTAAATTTTCCAGTGGTGGTGTGTTGTCTCCCTTTCATTTTGTCTTGGGTGAGCAGCTGAGCTCAGAGATAGCGATCCTTACTGTCATTCAGGTGTGTAGCAGGCAGGCTGCCCTGCCTGGGAGGAAGGGGAGGGACATCCTGGGGATGTTGAAACAAGCACATCAGTTACCAGCAGTCCTGGCAGGCTGTGCTGAGACCCCTTTCTCCCCCAGCTGTTGCACTGAGATCCCTCTCCTCCTTCCATACAGGAGATAATGCGGCACATGTCTCGGGTGGTGAGAGAGCTTGCACAAGCCATCCCCTCAGACATGGAACAGGAGAAGTTCATGTTGGTGCTAGCAATGGTCTTGGCTAAGAAAATTGTGAATACGGTGCCCTCCCTTCTACACCGTGTCTTCACCACCTCTGTGAACTTCATCAACCAGCAGTTCCACGACTACGTTGTCGAAATGGTGAGTGCTGTCAAACTGCTCAGTGCAAGCACAGCCGGTCTCTCTGCTGCCCTCCTGGCTGGCCTGGGTTCTTCCCAGAGGGGTGGCCCAGCTCTGAACTGCCTGTGGGCTGCTGGGTTCCCTGTAGTGCTCTGGAAGTTGGGCCAGAAGGGAATGTCAGTCTCCAAAGATCAGTGTGCTTGAGGGGGTGTCACAGCTTCTGCTTGCCCCCCTCTCACAGCAGCCAGGGAACAGAGAGCTGTGACTGCTCCTCTCCTCCCTGCAGTCTCTTCAGGGAGCTGTGCCTGTAGGGCTTGGGTTAATCAGCCCAACCTGAGCTCTGATGGCTGCATATCTTAATGTCTTGATCCTGAGCTCTCCGCTCTTGACTTCCTTGGCTCCCCAGAGCTTGGCAGAACTGGAAGGGGAAAGGAATTGCCCCTGAGAAACAACCCTAGCAGAGCAACAATGAGAAATGGTCAGATCTGTTCTTATTTACCGTTGGAGCTTCAGCATAGGTGGATTCTGTGCAGCTCATGGACAAGGCAGGGTAGAGGCCAGAGCTTCACCTGTCCGGGAAGGGGAGAGAACACACATGTACTGAGACATGGTGGTACCTGAGAATGAGTTTGAGTGGTCGGGGCTGTGATCCTGCCACTCTGTGACACAGTGGTGGTGCAGCTGGGGGGAGCTGCAGGTCTGTGGGACACCTCTGTCCACTGCCGTGCTACAGGCAGCCTTGGCAGCCACCTGCAGAGGGGCTGGGCTCACCCTGTGCCCCAGGACTCAGCACCCTGTTCCCTGCCAGGCAGCAGGGCACAGTGTCACTGTGCAATGTCACTTGGCACTGCCCTTCCCCTTCACTGGCTCCAGGGCGCTGAGTTATCCCAGAAGCGGGTCACTCGTGTGGGACAGGCCCTTCCTGCTGCCCCAGCAGGCTCCGAGCGCGGAGCAGCAAGGGCAGTCGGAGGGCTGGTTATCCGCCCAGCCCAGGGGGTGGCACCGGGAGCGGGCTGGGGCTGGGCGCGGGGGGCTGTGCCGCAGTTCCCCCGGGGAAGGAGGGTGATGGCAGCCGAGCTCGGCAGGTGGCAGTGTCGGGGCGCGGTTCGCGACACGGGGGACGTGCGGAGGTCCCCGGGAGCTGCGGGTGGGTGGGCTCAGGGCTTGCCGCGGGAGGGGCTCCGCTGCTGTTAATGCCCGTTCTGTTTCTCTCCCTCCAGATGGGTGAGTGAGCTCTCCTGCCCTCCACGTGGAGAAATGGGATTCTGGAAGACTTTTCTTGGTGTTTAAAGAACACTTTATTTGCTTTTTAACTTCTGAGATACTGTGGAAGTGTCTCAGTATCTCCCACAGCTGTGAAAGGGATGGCAGAGCTCCATAGATAGGCTTTTGTAGACTAGCACAGCAGCAATGGTAGTGTGAGCTGCCTGCCAGCTCTGCCAGTACCTGTAGGGAGAACTGCTTGCCTTCTCTCATTTTACAATATTTTTTCTGGTTTTTTTGGGGAGGGCTTTTTGGTTTTTTTAGCAGTAGCAGAGTTTGTGCAGACCCTGTCTTGTATCTCCAGAGGCCCAGTGAGGACAGGGCCTGCACTCTGTGCTTTTTTTAATCAGCTGTAGCATTTTGCTTTAGTTATTCACTTTCCCGCCCTGCTCTTGCAGCTGAGCCATGCTGAGTGTTGTTCCCAGGAAGGCCTCAGGCTGTGAAATGGGTACAGACCACAAGGGGGGTGGGTGGAAATCAGGCCTATCTTGATGGGGCAGCAAGAGAAAACAGAGCCCTGAAGGATGGATGGGTGTTTGGCCAGGTAAAGATACTTCAGTGTCAATCACCATCCACCTGTGTTGGCTTGAAAAATAAAACTGACGTTGAAACTGTAAAGAAAAAGGCAGGGGTAGGCACAGGGCAAGTTTTTTTGGGAATGCAACCTGGATATACTTGAGAAAAAGTGGTATCTAATAATCACATCTCAGGTTCAACAAACTTGGACTCAGGTTGTTTGACACATAATCACACGAGGTGGCAAATTGCATCACCTGTGATCCAGCCACCTCACGAGTTTTGAAAGTTTGTAAATATTTTGTGGGCTTTCTTAAATAAAAATATCACTTCTTGTGGCACTATGGCTCATAAGAATTTCAGTTTCCACCTGGATTTTTTTGGTGTTGTCAATTTTTTGTTCAAGTACTCATGTCCTTCCCCTAATTTACCAAGGCTGACGATGCAGCTGGCAGCAGTAGAGACACCCTGGTCCTGTCCTTGTGCCTTGCACAAGCAAATTTTATGTAAGTAAAAGCATCTTTTCTTTTGGTCCTGCACTAAAACAGGGAGGGGGGGGGAAAGCACAGAATAGTCTACACATTTTTCTTGAAAACTGTACCATTTATTAAAGTGCAACCTGGGGGCATGGTCTTACAGCAGTGTCCCGTTAGCAGAGGGAGAAAATGTACATACCCCTTCACTTCAACTGACTACAGAACAATGAAGCTGGAAAGAACTTCCTTTTAAAGGTGGAAACACTTTTATTAACCAAATGGCACAAGAAGCTTTAGACAGTTTTCCCCAAGAGGGCTGCACTTGCATATTAGAAGGAACAGTATGACAAGTTCCTGGGATAATGGGTGACTTGAGGACCAGTCAGGGTCTCTTCCCCCAGGCAGGCCTCTTGAGAACAGAATCTGAAATCCCTGCAAGTCTGTCACTATTTGCTTACACCCAGCAGAAGCCTAGTAGAAGATATCCCCTAACATGCAGCTTTAGTCAGTCCCATTAGTCTTTGCTACTTAACAAATCAAGTCCCATTAGTCTTTGCTACTTAACAAATCAAGTGGCATTCTTTTGGTCTGAGTTTGAATAAAAGCTTATACTGCAAGTATAAGCTGCTTATACTGCTTATACTGCAAGTTAAAAATGGGGACAGACCCCCTAAAGGTATAGCAGTAAGAGATGCATCCTCTGCAGCTTGTTCTGTCCACGTCGATAGTGTTCCTTCCCTCCCCTGCAGATACTGCAGGGAGATCAAAGGCAGCTTCCACTGGAAGCCAACAGGAGCTCCCCCACTTCTACAGCATGACCACAGACCTCTGGCTCGGAGGAAGCAAATCACCTACCCAAGAGACCAAGAGAGGGTCAGCTCTAAGTAGGAAAAAAAGTGATAAAATTTCATTATTTAACTTAAGGAGGTGGATCTGAGCGATGCTGCGTTGTGGTTCCCCTGGACTTTACACCCCTCTGAGATGGTGCCATGCCCCAGACAAGGACTGGGCAGGAGCCTTCACTCTGTCAGACACAAGCTGAGTTCCCTGCTCCTCTGGGCCTGAGAGCTCACTCTGCTGGAGTCAAGTAGCGGTGGCTTAAATTTTATAAATACCCCCTCACTCCCCTGTTTTGTTATGGCAATACAGAGCTTGCACTTTAACACACAGGTACACACATGGAGTGGAAGCAGTGCTGTTCTTGTAACCTCCTTAGGGCTGAAATTAAGCTGACCAAGCCAAATTAAAGTCATGCACAGCTTCTGCCTTCACCAGGTACAGGACCTCTCTGTGTTTCACTGGGAAGCACTTCCTCCTATGGTGCTCCAACCTGAGCAGACACAAACAGAGCCTGGGATAAAACATTCTTCTGAAGCCCTGGGCATTCTGAAGCCCCTCAGGCATTGCAGACTGGACTGTGTTCACCTCTCCACCCCACGCCCTCCCATTTCACAGCAAAGGAACCTCATAATTACACTCTCAAATTCTGTAAGCAGGAGCTTGCTCTGGCTTAGGGAGTGAGACACGATGCTGCCAGAAGCACTTCTAGATTTTTTTTTGCCAAAATGGCAAGATCTACCTTCCTAGGTGGATCTTCCTAGTACTGCCATACCACTGTAGCTGAAATTAAATGCAGGGAAGGTTTATAAGTTCAGATTATTTTATCTACTACAGTGATTAAAATGAAAAAAGACCAAAGTTTAAAAGCTTGCTTGTTTAGCACTAATTAAATTTTTCATTTGTGACCCTTAGAAAGCATTGATTAGTTTTAAAAATTCAGTCCAGTGCGTCAGGCTGGCTGTGATCAGCGCTGTGTGAAAAGGAAGGAAGCGGGATTCTGGCAGCAGAACTTGTCCTGGGTAAGAGCACTCAGCACTGCAGCTTTCACCTGGCCCTTGAGCTGCAGATGCCTGAGCACAGCTTTCAGACAGGATGAAAAATCAAGCCCTCACAAACAGCAAGGATGGATTCCTTAGTACTGACTTGCTCTCCCCAGAAGGCATGTTAGGAAAGAAACAACCAACTGCAACCACCACCACAACAGGCACTTCACCTCCAGCCAGAATCTAAACTGGTGTCCAAAAGCAGGTGCAATACTGAACAGAGACCATCCAGCCCTGTGCCAGAAAAGCTCCTGAACTGGTGAGTACCTAGAACAGCAGCTGCTCCAAGATTCACATCTTAATGGACAGAAGGCTGCAGAAGTGCTGCTTTCTTGGCTCCAGATTGTTTGGCTGGGCCAGCCCTAGCATCTTAGATTAAGTTATCTTCTGTAGTTTTCAGCAGCCCAATTACCACCCTGAGAACCCCTCTCAGCACCCCCCCAGCCCAGAGAAAACCAAAACTTTAAGTGTTCAAGCTGCCTCTCTGTCTGTGCCCAGTAATATTCCTGTTTTGGCCAGCTGAGCAGCTCAGTACTGTCACGCTGCCCCACAGCTGGATTTTGTGAAGGTGAAGGGAGGCAGGAATCCACCAGGCTGCACCCCACACACAGCAGCTACAGCAGGCAGGGACGTGGTTCTGTGTCTGCACTTTGGGTAACAGTGGGACTCTAGGGTTTGGTCTTTGCTCCCAGCCTCTTGTTCCTGCAGTGCCAACTGAAGAAAGCCCTTGCCCATCTCCCAGCCACAGCGCCCAACTGAGCACAGCTTAGAATTAACCACAGCTGAAATTTAAGTTGCACCTTATCTTGAAAGCCTATTCCTTGACAGCTCCTTACTGAGCGTGCTGCCCACTGCAGTTCATTAACTATTTACCGCTTCTCTGTAGATCTCGTCTTCTGCTGTTTTAGCATCTCAGCTTGAGGGTGTGCTGAGTGAAGACAGAATGGGTCTAAGGTAGATATTTTGTTAAGGTGCAGGCCACTCGAGGACAGATATTGAGGCACTTTTGGGAAGGGGATACGCAACGTGAGTTGCCCTTTTGCAAGTACAGAGCTACTGCCTTTCCCTCTGCCAGCTACAAGAGATCCACTACAGAGAGGCTGCATCCCACCTTTCGGGATAGTTAGACCCTGCAGCGTAGGATTACTGTAATACACTTGAAGATGGGGGGAAAAAGCCCTTCCATTTTCTAATTCACACCTCTGGCAGAGCAGCCTGCCCCTCAGGGCTGCAGGAACACTGCCATCTGACCTTACCTGCCCTTTGGTGACTTCACAGGGCCTGTCCCAGCTCTGACCACAGGACTCCAAATTCAGTAGAATTCAAGCCCACAACTGACCTTTTCAACTAATGGAGTGTTCCCAGAGGAAAGAGACTCACAATAAATGTTCTGAACATGTGGGCAGTGGGGTGGGGGAGAAGAGGGTACAAATTCTTGCTGACTTGTCAAATCTGAAAGACCCTTAGAGGAGAAGAATATTCCAGAGGAAGGACCAAGCAAAAACATATGGTGCAGCTGATGCTCCATTAAATGTAGCAAGACACCAGATACTCAAGACTTTTGTCTGACTGTGAAAATGCTTAACATGGTCACTTATTTTCCTCACTCCTGCTGCCACCTTCTCACTGCTGTGTGGAAGAAGATGCTTTCTATTTAATGCCCTGCTGGGCTCCTTGTGCCAACAAGTTAGGGACTTCTTCCCTAGCCAGCCCGGATTTATTCTTGTCTGTCCTCTACTGATCTCCCACACTAACACTGAAACAACCACATCCAGAGAAGAGTTAAAGTAAAACCAGCCCTGTCTGCACCCCCTTGATCCACAAATTATCCATTGTCCACAGAATCCATCTCTGCTTTAGAGTAACCCACTGTGTGGTGACAGCTGGGGACGTCCCAGATGTAAGCTCAGCATCTTCAGTAGGAGAGGATGTAGGTCAGGTTCAGAACAGCCCTTTTCCCACAGAGAACGTTCCCGGAGAAGAACCCAAAGCCATCAGCAAAGCAGCAGGAGAGGGGCAGCCCCATCCCAGCTGACCAGGCAGGAAAGCACAGCAATGAGACTACCAGGAAATGGCAGAAAAAGTCAGTTCCACTTTGCAGTATGATAAAGGGTTTTGGTTTTTTCTGTTAAGGCCAAACTACTAAGTTTTGTATACGGAAAAAGAGCCATCAGTGATCAGCGGTAAAGTCTGGAACTCCCCAGCTCCCGAGTTCAGTCCACAGTGGCAGCACATACACAACAACCCTTCCTCTTAATCAACTTCACACACACAAAATCCAGTAAGTTTTCTAGAAAATCCATTCTCACAAAAGCTTAAACAAAAATAATTTCTCAGAATCTGACACGATCTGACTAACTTTCCAGCATCCTGGGATAGGAAAATGCAGCAAGAATATCCTAAAATAGAGAATATGCTAAAATCTCTTCATTCTGAGATCCCTCAAGAAACAGGCTCATCAGGAGATGTACCCTAGATAAGGTAATTTAGAAATAAAAGTACCTTGTCTTTGTGCTTTGTGAAGAGTAAGATTCCCGTAAGCTCATGTTTCGGTTTCTACATTATCAATCGCGAGTTCCCTTTCACCTCCCTCCAGCTGATCTAAGCCACAGTGCCAACACCAACCCTAGGAGATGCATCCACAGTTCTGCCTGGAAAGCCCAAGGTCTTGCCCACAGAGCTGCAGTGGACATGGGCAGACACACAAACATGCTGAAAGAGGAATGCTTGTAGCTGGATCTGACTAACGAGCATGGCAATACTTAGAACGTTTCTCTCTGCACACACCCGAAGTGTTGTGGCTGCAGGAAAAGGGGTTTCCTTTTTGCCCAAGTAACTTTTCTCAGCATTTGTGAACCTGTAAGTTTAGCTGATTACAGATTCATTGCCGCAAAAGAAATCACGCTGACTGGCGCTCCGGGTCAGCTCAGGAACAAGCAGATAGAGGAGATGTTTAATGCTCTTTTGCTCACTAGAATCCATTGCTTTATATATCTGG